ATAGGGGACTGCACGCCATCACCGTCCCAGATAGATACCCCATCCCGCATCTCCAGGATTTCTCAGCCTCGTTGTACGGAAAGAAAGTGTTCAGCAAGATAGATTTAGTACGGGCATACCGCCAAATTCCCGTTCATCCTTAAGATGTACCTAAGACTGCCGTCACTACTCCCTTTGGTTTATTTGAGTTTTTGCGAATGCCATTTGATCTTCGTAATGCAGCTCAGACGTTTCAGCGTTTTATGGATCAGGTCATTCGCGAGCTGCACTTCGTTTTCGTCTACATCGACGATGTCTTAGTTGCAAGTCGCAACATAACGAACATTTGCGTCATCTGCGACAGCTTTTTGAACGATTTGCGCATTATGGAGTAGTTATCAACACCGCCGAGAGTCAGCTAGGAGTTGATATGGTAGACTTTTTTGGTGACCTTGTTTTTTCCGCTGGAATTGCACCCCTACCGGACAGAGTGATAGCCATTACTGAGTATCCCATACCTGATTCCATCAAAAACTTACGCCGGTTCGTTGGTATGGTTAACTTCTACCGAAGATTCATTCCGCACTGTTCAGAGTTAGCCCAGCTACTTACCGAACTAATCAAATTAGATGCTAAAACATTCGGCTTTATGGAATCAGCTAAACACGCATTCAGCGAGCTAAAACATCAGCTAGCAACTTCCACTCTTCTTGGGCATCTGGATCCTAAGACCCCGTTACAGTTAACGGTGGATGCCTCAGATGCAGCTGTAGGTGATGTGCTTCAACAAAGACAGAGTGGTGAATTGTATCCAATTGCCTTTTTTCTCTAAGAAACTGCAGCCTGCCGAACGACGTTATAGCACGTTCAGCAGGGAACTCCTAGCTATTTACCTCAATGTGTGTCATTTCCGACATTATTTGGAAGGACGTACCTTCACGATATTCACCGATCATAAGCCGTTAACGTGTGCGCTGCGTTCTGCTTCTGATCGTCTTTCCCCACGAGAAACTAGACAATTAGATTACATTTCCCAATTGACTTCTGACATACGGCATTCGCCCGGCGCGAATAACGCCGTAGCAGATGCCTTATCAAGGGCGGAAATCAACGCTCTATTCGAACATTCCTCCATTGACTTCCAAGAACTAGTCACAGCTCAGTATCAGGATAATCAGTTTCTTCAACAACTGCAAGAAACCAATCTTCAAGTGAAAGCCATTCCGCTGCCTGGTAGTTCGGATGTTCTGATGTGTGATCTTTCGACCGGAAAACCACGACCTGTCGTACCACGAAACCATCGACTAATCATCTTTGATTCAATCCACGGTCTATCACATCCAGGCATCTGTGCAACTCCCAAGCTTATTTCTGATTGCTTTGTTTAGCTAGCACTAAACAAAGGCGTGCAGATCATGGTGAGAAATTGCCTCCCATGTCAACGTTCAAAAGTGCAACGGCATACTCAGGCACCACTTGGCAACTTCACCGTTCCCGATGCTCGTTTCAGTCATGTGCACATAGACACCGTTGGTCCACTGCCGCCGTCGAGTGGATACAAGTACCTACTGACTTGCATCGATCGCTTCACTCGTTGGCCCGTGGCAGTACCCATCGCAGACATTTCTGCAGAGACGGTAGCACATAATTTTGTGGCTCATTGGATCGCGCATTATAGTGTACCATCCACCATAACCACTGATCGCGGTGCGCAATTTGAGTCTACGCTTTTTCGAGAGTTAACCAATACTCTCGGAACCAAGCGTATAAGAACAACTGCGTACCACCCATCATCGAACGGGTTAGTCGAACGTTTCCAACGTCATCTCAAAACAGCTTTGATGGCATGTTCCGATACTACCCGTTGGACAGAAACCTTACCGCTGGTTTTATTAGGTCTTCGAACGACACCTAAAGCTGATTTAGGTTGCTCCACCGCGGAGCTGGTATATGGTACCACGTTAAAGCTCCCGACTGATCTCGTTCAACCGACCGACATCGACGCTATAGATCCCTCACACTTTGTCCATCGGCTACGTTCATATATGTGTGAACTGCACTTTATTCCCACACGCGCATACACCAAGTGTTACATACCGAAAGATGTCGAAACTTGTTTACACGTGTGGGTACGAAATGATGCAGTCCGCAAGCCATTACAACCACCGTACGAATGACAATTCGAAGTGATCACTAGAACCGAAAAACATCATATGATCAACAAGAATGGTAAAGTCGATGCGGTTTCCGTAGATCGTCTTAAACCAGCGTACATTGAAAAACCTTGTAAACAACAATCTACTGATTCTCACACGACACCGTGTACGCAGCAGACACCACAGCTCGTTGAAGATGACCCGCAGCTTGCAACATCTAAAGCTAAGCCACAAGGAGACATTAATACGCGGCAGACACAGTCAGGAAGGCGAGTCCATTTTCCAGACCGCGTAGTGTATCACACATCTTGACAATATCATCTTGTTCTACTGATCACTTGCTAGTACCGCTTGCTGCCAGTCTCCTCTTGTTTGTTGTTCTCCAGATTCCGCCAGGATACAGCTGAGCATCTCTCACGAGAAAGAAGCGGATCATCCAGTCTAGACAAATCCAACATCCGATTAGTGGATACGATACTCCCGATGGGTGATCAGGAACATTTCGGTCCTTACCACATTGGTTGTTTTCTGCTTAAGAATGTGGTTGCTGAGAAGGATTTGGGTGTATTTGTTTCTCCAGACCCAAGAACAACCCAGGACACATTGCGGAAAGTTGCATCTGCCCACAGGATGCTTTGTGCCATATGTACGTCGTTCTACAAATTGACTCCCTAGAACTGCGGGCCCATGTTTTCCTCCCACTTTCGTCCAACACTGGAATACGGCCTACCTGCCATACCGCCACTCACAAAATTGAATGTGAATTGAGTGAGAAGGTGCAGAGGCGCGGAGCCAAATCCGTGTCTATGCTACGTGTTTGGCCAAATTCTCCGCCTCGCCAACGTATGAAATTAGTTACTCTGGACTACCGCCGTCGTCGTGGTGACCTGGTTTAGCTAGACGCGTTTTAAGGGGCGATTTGTGGAAGGAGGTGCAGCAGCCCTTCAGGCTCAACGCAGATTATTCAACACGGGGCCACAGGGTGAAACTTTTTAAACCTCGGAGGAACCATATCTTGTCCGATGTCACGTTATCCACACGGGTTGTGTATGAGTGGAACAATCTCCCTAATGTGTGGTAAGTGCCCAGACAAAGGAAAGTTTTAAAGAACGATTGGACAAATATATGCTGAGCATGCCTGGATACTGCTGCTTCGCTGCAGGTGCAACTATCCCTCGGGGAACCCCGTTTGGCAACGACATGTCCTCCAACCAGTGAACGGGAGACGATGAAGCTGACACGGGTGTTCCCTTCTGCTACCTACAACGCTGTGAACACTATGAACTCCATCAAGCTTCCGACGTAGCTGCGATGGTTATCACACGTGGACCTGCCAGCAAAACAAACCTGGCCAGTGAGTTAGTTACTCCGAGAAGCATAAGGCTTATAATTTGTGTACCACACACCTGCATCACGTTGCACCCCAATTTACACAACTTATCGCCGAACCGTACCACCGTCCATAAGAGCTAGTGGTGAATCCTGACTACGCCTTCCGTTCAACCAACGGAAAATCGGGTGTACGATGCCTGCGATTAACCGTCCGGAAAATTTGTCCTAAGAAAACGTTACAAGTATCTCAACTTTATTTACATTGTGTTTAATGGCAGTGTTCCAAGACTTGGTGGGATTCGCCTGGCAAGCGTTCTGTCTATACAAAGCCCCAAATGACTGTTTAACGAGAGTGTGACGTGGCGGATGTGACGCACCACCAACCAAACTCGCTGCTCACGGTTTCACACGGAGAATGATCACAATATCCGATACTTGCGTGCACCACGTGTTTATCAAACGCTTTATCGGACTCATATGCCTACAGAAAAATGGAGATCGACTGTCGGAACAATTCGAAACCCCAGCCCGCATGTCCGTAACCGAAATAATTTGTCATCATACAACGCTTCGGCGCCACATTTATCTTTAACGCCAATGATCATGCCCTTCATCCCTGCATCAACCCCATAAAAGATTATGCGCAATTTTCGAGCC